AGAGTGACACATGGGTTGATAATTATTTGTACAGTGTTAGGATTCCAAAACTAAATGTTTCACATTTTGTTTATTTGGCAAGGCTAAATGGATGTTGTCAAAAGATTAAATATAAAGTAGCTATAAATCTTCATTTAACTATTTAATAGGGAAGCAAACATGAACAGAGTCAACAACCAAAATTCCAACTATTTGTATAGACAGAATTAAGATTGCAACTGGTATTTGTTATGCATACATATATGCAGAAATACACAGGTCTGGCCTTCACATCTGTAGTAAGTGCTACCCACTGATGGTCATCTAAACATATGTAAGTATAGCTAAAAAGCTGTGAGATATGAAAAAAAGTCTTTTGGAAACAACACAAAAATAAATTCCAATATGGCTGCTATTTTCTGCCTGACAACCTCTAGGTCTGCCATGAAATTTACGTTCAATTCTAATCTGCTGTCAAAAAGGAGATTTCACCAAACTAGTCAACTCAAAAACCCAGCTTAACTAATTTGTTCCTGGTATTGTTGTTTTTCCTCTTCAATAAAATGAGTAGTTCCTTGGTCAATTCACCAAATGGAAGAAGTGTGTTACAGTTACATTAGAAAGCTATATAGTCAAAATAATATTCTATACTAACAACAAAACTATAAAGTTACTATGCTTTTCATACATATAAGCTTCATAAATATTGTTTGACTCTGAAATGGAAAGTTAAGCATCATGAGGCAACGCTATGATGTGTATAGCATCCTTGAATCTAAAGAAAATAGTCAGCAACAGTAACTAAAAAGAACAAAATTATTCTTTCTGCCACAAGTTTAGCCCTCCACAGATGGCATGAGGATCACTAAGGTTCAAATGAGAGGCTTTGTTGAAAACTGAGAGACAGCAAATATTTTTAAATACATTACTTCCCATTAACTATTAGTTTCGGTTTACATTGGAGTGGTAATCATGACAAAGCAATTATGTGTAGCAGGGGACTGTAACCCAGTTTAAAATTCACCAACAACTTAAACTGTGACTTCAAATGTTAGTCCTATATTATGTATTGTGTATTATATATTATATATTATATATCAGAAAAGAGAGAATTTTCAGTCCTACAGAATAATCAGTTCTATAGTGTCTAATACTGTATAGAGACAGCCTACCATCTAATCAAGAAATATATATTAAGGGTTCATAATGAATAATATATGGAATGGGATACAAAGATAAAACAAAAAATTCCTCTTGGTAATAATAATAATGCCATGCATTTATATACCACTCGTCTAGTGCCAGACACTATGCTAAGTGCTTTATAATTATCTCACCAGATCCTCACAACAAGCATGGAAGGCAGGTGCTATTAATACCCCCATTTTACAGATGAGGAAACTTAGGGAAATATGAGTTAAATGACTTGTACAAGGTCACAGCTAGTTAGTATCTGAGGTTGAATTAGAACTCAGGACTGCTTCACTCCAGGCCCTGCACTCTATCCACTGCACCACCTAGTTGCTACATTTAAACAGGTAAGTATAAACAAATATAATGTACTGTCCCTTTAGGGTTTTGTTGCTAAATTATACTTGCTCATACTTCTAAGAGAAACTATAGAATGAGAGTTTCTGGAGGACAGTCGGACTAAAAGTGTTAAGATAAACAGCTGTGGAATTTTGAATATGACAAACTGCTATATAATGGAGAGATGTGGATACCAGAAACACTATATGACTATGGGACAAATAGAATTTATTTGAAAACAGACAAAAGATGAGAATTTAGTTCATAATCATAAAATAAGGTGGGGTTGTTGTCAGAGATGAATCACAGTCTGAATCTAGAAATATAAGACAGAGAGAGGAGAAAAAATAGATTTCAAAACTACATTGACTATATCTGAAGCCGGGAAGAGATATGTTCAGTTGTCACTGAGTTGAAAGTTTACTGAGTAGAGGAACAAACGGGAAGCAGAGAATCAGAGAGGTCACTCAGATGATCAACCCGTTTGATTAAGATGTTATACACAATAAGGGGCACAGGATGGACCAATTCAGCCTATCAATGAAAGCACCTATTCAACACAAGCTTGAATGTAACAAGGTGGATAACTCCATATTTTCTACAAATGATCTCCATCTGAGGAAGAATACTTGATAGCAAGTATCCTTCCCCTACAGAGACTTCAAAACCTTTTACCTGCTCTATGGAGGACAATGAATTATTGCACAGTAATTAAATAAGATATAATAATATTTCAATTCTTCAAGTATGTGTACTGTTATCATTACAGACATGCTCTCTCCAACTCTCCAACATTATTTTCATCATTTGTCATCTTAATCAACTTGTTGAGTGTGAGGTGAATTCCTCAGCATTTTGTTTTTAGTTCACAATTCTCTTATTACTACTAAATTGCAGAATTCTTTGGTATGGATGCTAACAATTATAATTCTTTTGAAAACTGTTTATATCCTTTGAGCAACTATTTATCTGGAATGATTTTTGATCCTATACATTTCTTAGTTGCCTGGATATCAGGATATCAGAGATATTCAAAACAAAGATGTGTTTCCATTTGAATTATTTGCTTCTTTATTTTATTTGCATCAGTGCTATTCATGCAAAAATTTTCAATTTTATGCAATCAAAATTATTCATGTTATCTTCTCTGTGAGCCTTATAGAGAGGATTGTTACTTGGCTAAATATTGGACAAGAGGGCCTATTAGGTCTTTTCCAACTCTGAAGTCACATCTTTCTGGTTACAGTATTTGCCTCTACGACAATTTTGCCTGTAATGGTTCTCAATACATTCAGTCACAAAATAAGCTGTACATTACGTGCTTTGTATCTATTTTATCAACAACGTGCTACCTTAGATACACAACACTTCCCTACATGTAGCCAATGGCTCCCATTCTCTTCGTAGAAAATTCCTTAGTGAACCCAGTCCACACAAATCAGCAAAAGACTTCTTTAGCTGTATTGAAGGCTATTACACTATTTGATACAAATAATTTTTTAAATGACAAGATATTTGCTTTTTGGCTCTTTGATTTCATCCACTATTCATTACTGACTTGATTTCATTTCAAAATTGAACTGCATACTAACAAAATCTTGCCAGATGGAACTTTGCATAGATGCTGTATCTTGCTCCTGCCAGGGATGATTTGTATCCAAAACGAACAGGAAAATGCAACAATAGATACTAAATGCATTCAAGTTTGGAAATAAAGATTTTAAAAAAACACGATAGAATTCTACTTATTCATTTCCAGCGACACAGAAAAGGCAGAATTGCAAAGAAGATGATAACTTTTTTGACCCATCTCATAAAAGGACATTCACAGTGAATTCATTTTTTAAGGTATTGCACAGTAACATCTCAGTTTGATTTTCCTAATAGGATATACTTTGGTCAGGAAGTAAACCAATTCATTATAACAACCCGAAAAACCTATATTGTATGTTTTCTAAAGATTTATGTGATAAAGCTTTGAGATACCATCTTGATTACTATTGACTGGAGCCGCTTTCTCTTTGCATTCAAATTAATGATTAATATTTTGATTTACAAACATCACACTCATAAGATTGGAATTATAATAAAACACAGTACTGTAATATTCCTGTATACTGCAGTTGGGCCCTTGAAATACTCATCACTTGACAAAAAAGGAATATAATAAATAAAATAATAAAATAATAAATAAAAATAATAAAAAAGGAATATAAAAATATAATAATTAAGAAATAAATAAATTGTGAAAATAGATTTCAGAAGTCATATGAAGAACAGAGTGAAATAAAAACAGTGAAGATGGTCTATGTATCACAAAAACCACAGAATTTGAGATCTGGATGGTACCCAAGGGACCATCTGGTTCAACCTATATATAAAAGCAGTCTTCACTATAAGATATCTAATATAAAGTATACTTTTACTTTTTTCTTCTTCTTACAATAGTTCCCAATCAACAATCTACTTTCCATTTGGATTTATTATAAACATGTTCTTACAAAGCAAGCACACCGAAACTATATTATTTGCCCAGATTCTCAGTGCCCTCATGTCAACAGTGAATTAGAGATGGTAAAAATAATTGAGTTAGGGGTGGCAACGTGAACAAGCTTTTGTTCAGTATCCCTTATTCTTCATATTAAACACATTGGTTGGAGATATTATATAGTATAAAACATTTTTATTATTACTATTATTATTGTTCTTATGGTTTTTGTTACGAATATTTATATACTTAAGACAGTAAAGACACTGGGAACTGTGGTTCTTCCTAGGTTGGGAATAAAGGAAGTAGGGCTAAAAGTCCTATTTTACTTTATAGTGGAAGCTCTGAGGATCTCTTGAGAGGGGACAGGACATACAGCAATGAAATGGAGATTGGTGAGAGCAAGATGTGAAAATTCCCTTCTTCACTTGGTTATTTTGTTGTGAGTACTTGCTTAGGTGGCCTGGTTATTCCTCTATAGGCTTTAGAAATGGGGCAGAAGCTGGAACAGAGACCCCACTTGGCTCCTGGGGTAAGAGCCACACCACTGCTGCTTGCTTCTCAGTATGCATTCTTGGGCTTGCTAGTGTTCCCTACACCAAAGTACTACCCTGAGGCACAAGTCTTCTTCGTCTTCCCTGGACCCATGTATAAAAATTGGTAGTGGGCAATAAAAATGCCAGATTCCATCTGTTCCTGGCTTACTGCCCCAGTACAGATCTACCTCCTCTTGTGCTGGTACACAGCCTCCCCCTGGGCTCAAGGACTCTGAGCACAGCTCCTGGCTAGACTCCATCTCCTGTGCCCTCAGACCTCTCTCTCTCTCTCTCTCTCTCTCTTCTCTCTCTCTCCTCTCTCTCTCTCTCTCTCTCTCTCTCTCTCTCTCTCTCTCCTTCTCTCTCTCTCTCCCTTCTCTCTCTCTCTCTCCTCTCTCCTCTCTCTCTCTCTCTCCCTTCTCTCTCTCTCTCTCTCTCTCTCTCTCTCTCTCTCTCTCTCTCTCTCTGCCCAAGCTGCCTTGGACTAGAAAAATGACTCATTTTGACTTTTTGGATTTCCTCATTAAGATCTGGTGGGGTGAGTTTTCTATATCTATTTGGAGTTTGTGGCAGAGTTCACTGTACTGTTTCCTGCTGACATCTTGGCTTCTCATAAACGCTTTAATTTTTAATGGATTTTCATTCAATTTGGTAAATGTATAGAGGTAAAAGCAGCTGTTAAGAACTATTAGAACTATTAGTGAACTATTAAAACTATTAGTAAACTTTTAGTGAAATATTAAATCAGAATGACCTAAGTTTCTTTTTTAGATTTTAGCCTTATTTGGAACACCAACAAATAAATATTCAAATACTTTTGCCCTCATAAGCTACAAGATATAGTTAGATTGTAAGTTTCTTGAGGATAAGGAATATACCTATTTTTATACTTTTACTTACACTACTTCCCAGCAAAGGACATTGGCCATGGCAAACACTCAATAAATATTTGTTGAATGAACAGGGCACCATCTGAATTTGTCACTTCTTGACTTAAAAACTTTCTGTTACTCCACTGGGTCTGGGATAAAGTGTAAACTCTTAGCCAAGTGTTTAAAGCCTTATGGTTCTGGTTCCAATCTAGATTCTAAGCCTTGCTTCATATGATCTCCCTTCCTGTAATTTATGTTTCAGGCCAACTTAGCAGTTCTGCCTCTTTCATTACACCAACCTTTCCCCATACCTGGCAAATAAATCCTCATAAATTCTTTTTTATTCTTTTAACTTTCAGGTTGGGGGCCCCCTTTGGTAACCACTTTCCCGATCTCCCCCAAATTATTACTGTTCTCTGCTTCCTCTAATTACTTTGTGTTTAGTTATCTCAATGCATTATATATTTCCTCTAACAGGCCAAAATCCTTGATGGAAAGAAAGATATCATTTTTGTCTTCATATTTACAGAGGCCAGCCCAAAGTGTATGTATAGCTTGCTTAGTTGAACTGAATACGTGATATGGTCTACTTATGAACATCATGCCATTGAGAGCAAGCTGGGTTCTACAAAAAGTAAAAAGCCTACAGAATAATCAATGTAATACCAATGCAATGGTAGAGATGGCCTATCAATTATTTTCCTATTATAATTGCCAAGATTTAAGTATTATTGTGAGAGTGCTATCTAGGGCAGACTAATGAAATTATTTTATTTTAGCAGGAATAAACAATAGCCTTTGTTTCATTTATTTTAAAGAAAATAAGCAGTTATGGAGCACCTTCTATGTGCCAGACACTGTCCCAGCAGATGTACAAATATATATTTCATTTGATCTTCACAATAACTCTGTGTCCTCAGGCCTCTGGTCGTGCTATTGCTCTGTACACCACAATGCCATAAAAATAGCACTATTCTGCGCTACTCTGTGACCTTGGGGAAATCACAATCCGTCCCTGGGCCTTGTTTTTATTGTTCCTCTAAACTAGGAGTTTGGCTAGATACTTTTAAAGTTTTCCACTAACTGTAACATTTAGAGATTTTATAAGAAATCCAATAAATTAAATGTTTTATAATCCTTATTTTACAATTGATACAACTGATGCATACGACACTTAAGTAACTTGCAGAGGTTCACATTGATATGGCTAAGTTATACAATAAGTTGACACAGAAAGGTGGGATTTGCACTCAGTTCTTTCTTATTCTAGGCCCAGAGCTTTATCCACTGCAATACTCAGCTGCCTTTTATCAGCTGATGAGGTAGATATTACATTATATATAATGTAATAACCCCTCAAAATTCTGCATTTTCAGAATAAGTAATATTTGCAGAATATAGAGATTTAATCTTGAATCATATATATACATATATATATATATATATATATATAAATAAATTGTGTGCTAATTTCTATTTAGCCATTATTATAATAAAAACCCATGAGGCAGTAATCCTATTTAATTCTGTTGCCAAGATAACTCCTAAGTACATGGTAATGTTTGCTAAGTGTTTAATGATACTAATAATTATATTGTTGAAGGTAAAAGTAGATTTAATGGATAAGAGGACTGTTAACCCTTTCATCCCATTCCCATATCCAACTTAGTTTTCTTTCTACATAGAGATTTTCTTCACCTTTTATGTTCTTCTACATTCTTATGATGTCTTACTTGCCTTACTACTAATGGTTCAATATGTTCAGAACAGCCCATCCTCAGAAGGAGGAAATGACATAGCAGACAAAAAAAAACTTGACTTGCAAAATCATGAGTCCAGATCCAGACAGCAAAGAAATTCTACCAAATCCTGTGATTAGCCTTACTATATGGCTTACTAATGATTAGTGTAACAAAAAGATAAACAAGATCTGCTCACCCTGAACTGATGTATTTGAAAAAGAATCCAGCACCCTTTTCATTCCTAAGTGAAAAACTTAGTGCTATGCTTAACTACTATGGCTACTCAGATCTAGACAATAACTCTGGGAGGGGCAGTTGTTCAGAATTGTCAATGGTATCCTTATAACCTTTTTGTATGTATGCATTACTCACTGGTGATTTGTGTATCATTAACAAACCCTGCACTTAGTTTAAAGGATGTGAGATTCTACTTCTGATTCTTGAGATCTAAAATTGGGCTAACTCACCCACCAACTTCACTTCTAGCTGTTGTTGTCAACATCTTCTAGTTTAAAATATCCCTATTTTAAATTTTTATGATTGAAAATCATGCCCTGAGTGCCTTTATTTGAAATAAAACATCAAGACATCAAATTTTGATTAAGTTAACCTCAGAAGTAAGAACCTAAGGTTAATCTTACCTGGTTCACTACAACATTTATCAATTTTTAAAATCATTCTTCCTAAGGCTGAGGACATAAAATGGATACCATTGAAACAAAGTGATTTGAAAACTGGAGGATTAAGCTATTGTTTTTTATTTCTGTAGCAAAATTAGAATAGACTCTCTTTACCTATCCTACGCAAGATTTACTTCCTTATTTACTTCCTTATTTATTTTTGCGCATTAGGTCTCCCTATCTCACCCAGGCTACAAATGAAATAGCCACTCATTGACCCTGTGCTACTGATGCTCTGATTCCAGCCCGAGCCAGTGTGCCCCTTTTTGAGCAGCCTGATGGCCTCCAGCTCCCAGAAGTTGACCAACACTAGTGGCAGACTCAGTTGCATCAGAATTGGATGTGACTAACTGAAAGAAATGCAAGTTTAGGCTTACTGGAGTTTGCTAAGATGGCACCAGTAGGCAATAGGACTATCATTTCCTACAACACTCACACAAACATAACTTAATAAACCATATAATTTATTGAATTTCTTATAAAATCATAAAATATTATAAGTAGCAGAAAACTTTGAAAAATCTAGCTAAACTCCTCCTTTTGACAGACAATAAAACAAAGGCCCAGAGAAGTATTGTGATTTCCCTAAGGTCACACAGCAATAGGTCAGGAAGTGGACTGGAACCATGTCTATCTCACAATTCAATACTTTTCTATTATATAATATTCATATATTTAAAAATTATGTGAGCATGTTATATATAACTTTTAGTTATCAGGCTATGTCAAGTCACTGTTAACTACTTTAAAATTCTGATTAATTTGAAAGTGTGTAAACTTTTTATCTTAAATGACATATTATAGTTTCAAACAGGAATATATGATTAATTCTCTATTATTTTATAGCATAGATAAAATAAACACATGAACTTCCAAAAGAAGTGTCCCATGTATGACTGGCAAAAGCAATGCTGTGTAGTTTGTTTTTCAATTCCCTTGTCTAGGCTTTCAAATTGATATTTTAGGAATTAAATTGAGCACAGATATTAACTCATAATTTTCTCTAGGAGTCTTTCAACCAAGGCAACTTAAAAAATACTAAGTGTCTATATGTCAATTTCCCAGTGACAAACTTCTCCTGTAAAGTGGATGCTTAAATGTTATCTGTCTTAAGCCTGCCTCATTATTCTTTTTTCTTTCAATAACTTGGGCTTAGTTTTTCTAAGGTCTCTGAAACCCTTTTTTCACACTTTCCATAGGCCAATAAAGAGTCATGGGCAGCTCTTTGTCTTCTGAATCAGATCACCCACACTTCTAACATACTTTGTAGTCTCTCTTTTGGGCACAACCCAGGCTATCATTCTTATAGATGAGAGCTATCCTCCATTTTACAATTGTATTATTTGAAATGCCACAGTATTATTATAAGCCACCTAAAAAGAGAGATCGTTTTTAGCCTGGTATTTTGACACCAGATACATCCTAACAACACTTTCATGCAAATCCCTCTTTATATTGTTCTCGATTTTTATTGTACTATGTAAGTCTTGTTTCTCCAATATTATTCTAAGCTTCAGGAATGCATCACGTACTTTTTACATAACTTTTTGGAGATGGAGGACTCCAAATTTCTGATTTCATGGATGTGGAGTTTTCCCAATCAATCAATCAACAAGTATTGAGTAAGCATCCCCTATGTGCCCGGCACTATGCTGGGCAATAGGGAGGGACACAAGTACAAAGAATGAAACAGTCCCTAATTTTAAGTTTACATTCTAATGAGAGACACAAGTACATGCATAGATATATATGATATCAACACAGAATAAATATATGCAAAGATCCAAACACTAAAATGCAAGATATTGAGGGCAGTAGGAGCACAAGGAGTTTGAGGATCATGACAGGCTTAGTGCAGAAGATGGTATTTGAGCCTCACATTAGAGAAAGAGAGGGGGCTCTGTGAGGCAAACATAGGCAGGAAGTTCATTCCACACATGTGGCATGGCAAATGAAAAGGCACTGAGATGAGAGGCAGAGTGTCATATGTGAGGAACAAAGAGTTGGCTACTTTGGTTGGACTGTAGAATGGAGGGCGGCAAGTAATGGCTAGTAAAGCTAGAAAGGTAGGTTGGCTTACTCTCATCATAAATGGCTCAAAGAGGGAATAACATTCACATTCAATTGGTACAGAAATCTATCTTACCCTACAAGAAAGTAGGAGGGGAAGGGGATACAAGAAAGGGGGAGGGGGAGGGTGACAGAAGGGAAGAAGATTGGGGGAGGAGGTAGTCAGAAGCAAAA